CAATCCTCACCTGGCTTTCTCCTGGTAGAAGTTCTCAAGCAGACTTTGTTAAAGATGATTAAATGAATCTGTATCTTTGTTCATAATTGAGTGCCTCTACACTGTTAATATTCTAGCTTCTGCTTTGGTCTATGAGCATAGCTTCTAAGAAATGGGGAATGAGGAAAAAATACTCAATGGATTAAATAAGTGACTGAACCAGAAAAATGGCATGAAATTAGGTCATTAAGTCACAGAGACAGTGCAGTGGCCCAGAAACAGTCTGTAAATTGCTACCTGGCACTGAGCTTGGTGAGCAGTGAGTGTCTCCATCTAGAGAGGAGAGGTGAACCATATTCAAGGTGGTAGGAAGAGGTATGCTTTTTTAAGACCAAATCTACCATAGGACATGGCCATTTGCTTAAAGGTGTGGACTGAGTATTGACTAGTTCTTTGGCCAAAAGGACTGAATTATTTAACAGGAAAAAGCACAATTCCCAATGACTCGAGAGATTGCGTGGAGCAGAAGAACCTGATTGATAAAGTCTAAGTTGGTTCAAAGATGTGCATGTCTAGATTTGCTAGAGTAACAGTGGACGACCTTGGGAACTTGGCTCAAGCTCTCCATGCCTCGGTTTCCTTTACTCTAAGAGAAGGATGAACATGGCTCTCTCAGATTTCTTAATAGCCATCAGATGCTACTTTATTTATTGTTCCTCTCTCCCCTGAAAATATACATTCCCAAAAGACAGGGACTTTAGGTGTTGTGTGTACTGTTGTATTTTTAGAGCTCTGAACATTAAATACTGAATGCATTTATTTTGAATGAATAAATGACTATACAGTTGCTTTATGGGTAAAGTTCTTACAAAGTGTTTGGCATTACTGCCTCATGTTAATTAAAAATTCAGTAAATAATATTTTGGTGTTTTGTTCCTATTTGTGTCTATTTCTGAAGAAGGAAAAAACCCTGGATTAACCCTGGGATGAAAGATAGGTCCATGTTGGTGTCACTTAATGGTGATTGTAATTCCTTTGGTGAAGAGTAAGGCTCCAACATCTGTGGCATCATCCAGGGAGAAAAATACCCACTTCTCTTGACTCTCCTACTCTCCCATCCTGATGGGAAATGTCCTTCTATATATGTTCATCTTATTAATTGTTTAATGAAGTACTGTTTGGCCAATGAGGCAGCAAGTTAGGCGGGACTATGAGTCAAGGAGGATTCTGGGAAATGTAGTAAAGAAGTGGTGATCCAGGCAGGAAGTGACATAGTAAGGAGACTCATATATAAACAATGACAGGAAGGAGGTGGGCCCTTCTCTCTTCCTCCAAAGCCACCATGTGATCCTGGAGATGAGGACGCCAGTGGAAGGTGTCCGATAAGATAAGTATTATAAAATATATAGATTTATGACAATTAAGACTGAGCCAGCAGACGAGAAATCCTAGTCATTGGCCAAGCAGCAGTTGTACCTAATGAAAGTCTCTGTGTATTATTTTGACCATCCACATGAAGGGAAGAACTCAAGTGGGTGGCAGAAAGATTTATCGTAACACTAACCTGAGCATTATTTCCTTCTCACACACTCCACCAAGTCCTACATGTCACATTCTTCTTTCTCTGGGTCCTAAGGCAAGGAGTTTGACTCCTCACTGCCCCTCCAAGTCTTAACTTCTTCAGGGTCTGTCTCATGCTTCCTCTCTTCTCTTCCCCCGTGGCATCTCTCTCCTCAGGCAGCTTCTTTTCACTCTTTTTTATGATTCAAATTCAAAGCAAGACAAATCCCACCTCATCCTCTTGGGGAAGAGTGGCCCAGGCCGACAGGACCTTAGCCTGATATGCTTAGAATAAAACACTTCACTAATAAACACTGGACACATATACAATCCGTGTGAGTTGCTACAACAGAAGCCAGCAGTGCTTCCAGGGAACCTTGAAGACATCAGAACCAGGGAAGCAGCTGGCTGCACTGGGATTAGCTGGAAAAAAAAAAAAACTCCCAATACTGTAAGCACTTTCTCCTTTCTCTGGAGCAAAAGTTTTAGCAATGAACCTGTCTAGACAGGCTACAAGATTTATCCATTACCCATTAAGGAATTTCTGCCCCCTGGAGCAAAGAAAGGGCATTGCAGTTGGGTGTTCATCACCTCGTGGAGTCTACAGATTCCCTACTGGAGTTAAGAATAACCCAGTTTTCTTCTTTTCTTTTTTTTCCATTGATTTTTTTTATTTTCATTTTACATACCAGACCCCAGTTCCCCAACCCTCCCCTCACACCCTCACACCCTCATTCCCTCGCCTTTGCTTTCAATCCCCCATCCACTCCTCAGAGTGGGTAAGGCCTTCTTTGGGGATCGCCAAAGTCCCTCCCCCCTGTCTCAAGGCTGAGCAAGGGATCCCCCCCTAGGGAATGGGCTCCACATTTCCCATCATGATCTTAACCCTGCCTTGTTCAGATGGTCGTCCCTCCCTGCAGGAGCTCAATCCAGTGATTGGCTGTGGGTCATGCATCTGCTTCCATCAGATACTGGATGGAGGTTCTATGATGACAATTAGGGTAGTCAGCAATCTGATTAAAGGGTAAGGCCAGTTCAGACACTCTGTCCACTATTGCTAAGAATCTTAGCTGGGGTCATCCTTGTAGATTCCTGAGAATTTCTCTAGCACCAGTTTCTCCCTAACCCCATCATGGCTCCCTCTATCTAGATATCTCTTTCATCATTTCCCACCTCCATCCCTCCCCCAACTCGGTCTTTCTTGATCCCTTGTGTTCCCATTCACCATCCCCTCTATTTTACCCTCTGTCTCCATTTACCCAGGAGATCTTAACTTTGGTTTTCTTCTTTTCAAAGCATAATACAATTCCACAATAGAAGTAAAGCATAGAAGACAATATCTGAGCTATTCCAGCTAGTATATACTGTGGGAGGTTGGGGGTAAAACACCAGAATTTGAAGATTCTCTTGAATGAAACCCAGAGGTCATGCTTTATGGTAAAGGATCCAAAACAAGGCAAACTAATAAACAACAACAAAAAGCAAGCAAAAGGCTTTTTAGATGCTCTCACATCAACTGGGCTCCTCATCTGTGCCCATCTTTGTATTCATCATTTCAGAAGGCTTTGAACTCATTCCAAGAGTAGATTTTCATGCCTCCACTTTACAAACAAAGAATCAGAGACAAGGAGCAAGCAATTCAGGGTCTTCTCCACTATCCACCAGTCTTCAGTGAGCCGAGCCAACATTAAATCCAGCTCTTTCCAGATTCAAGGTCAGAACTTGGACATTATCTTATTTCCAACTTCCAACTCTATTCCTCATGGAATAGGTGGTGATAAACATACTCCCAGATCAGTGTGGGGTGCATGCCTGTAATTCTAACACTTGATACCGAGCCAAGAGAACTGAGAGTTCAAAGCCAACCTTCAACACATGGTGAGATCCTATCTGAGAGAGGTGGAGGGCAGATTGGCTACTTAAAGAACAGAGGACTGTTTTTTTTTTTTTTTTATTAATTCAACCTTTCTCTCACCCCCTTTTTTGGTCCTCTAGACATTTATTTATTTATTTATTTACTTATTTGAAACATTTATTCATCTCAAAATTAAGGGCAACTTTTCTAAGAATAGTCCCACAACACACATGCAGCTTATTTGAAACATTTATTCATTTCAAAATTAAGGGCAACTTTTCTAAGAATAGTCCCACAACACACATGCAGAATGTGGGTATGCTATTAAGTAAACTACAGAGTGAAACCGAAGCTCTAAGGTACACTAGTGTTCACAAAGCCAGCATCACAAGACATTTAACTTCCTGCCTGCAAAGTACAGTATCAAGACTCCCTCAGATGAGAAGCCCTATCTCTTGAAGACAAATAATGGAAGTATGATTGGTGTTTTGCTATCACCAAAATTAGTGACATACACATATCCCAGACATAGAATCCATGGGGAGCCCCAGTGTATGCAGGGGAGACACAGGAGCTGTAAAGTCTAGTGCTGTATTGCTCTGCTCCCGAAGTGTGCTAAGCCGAGAGGCAGGTTCTGATGTGAACCCTCAGGAATGATAGAAATTGAGGCCTCTAGTAATGCAATCGTGTCTAATAAGCCTTTAATGAGGACAGAAGCAGCCTCAGCTTACCTCTATTGCAAAGCAACTACACACAAACCTCAATTACTCAGACATTTAAAAATCAATCTCAAATAAAATATCCAGGTGATGGAGCTAAACTGATTAGAGCAATCAGGACATATGCATAGTCCCGGCATGCCTCGTCAAGACAATTGAGGCAGGCAGCTCCGTTAATGCAATAACACAGGCCGACTTGGTGCCTCCAGGGGCTAAAGTGGAGCAGGTATAACCCCAGATCCTCAAGAAGCAGAGGAAGATTCCAGTGAGCTACAAATCCACGGACATAATCAGGGGCTTTGTGCATAGAGGCTGTGTTTGGAATGTGGTTGTCAACTTGCTCATAGTTCTGAAGATAGACAGGTCACCCAAATCTGCCATTCAAGACCTTGGCCCCATCCTGGCCGCCAGCTATACACTGATGTTGTGATGCTTTGGCTGGTTGTATGTATATAGTCAGTGGAAGAGATGCTAAAATGGATTTGCTAACAAATTAAAACCTGGCTAATGGCTTCATGGGCAATGTAGCTGTGAGTTTTTGGTTCTTTTCTACCTTATGGGCATTCACAAGAAGGGATGTATGACATCAGAGTATCAGTATTTGGGGCTTTTCTGAAACAGGCATAAAATTCAAAGAGTGCCATATCTAGGTAAAGGATCATCACAATTTCCAAAGAGTCATAAATATTTTTGCTTTGCAAATAATACAATCGCCAATGAAATTACTCAAGTGTGATCATGGAGCATAGAAACAGCCTCAGATGATACGTGATAGATACATGTGGTTGTTCTACTAAAACTTTACTTAAAAAATATGGCTGAGAGAGCGGGATGTCTGTCTTCGGGTTGCAGTGACTGTGGTGTTGATCACCTGGGAGCATATTAAAATGGGCAATGTTGAGAAAGGCAAGAAGATTTTTGTTCAGAAGTGTGCCCAGTGCCATACTGTGGAAAAGGGAGGCAAGCATAAGACTGCGCCAAATCTCCATGGTCTGTTCAGGAGGAAGACAGGTCAGGCTGCTGGATTCTTGTACACAGATGCCAACAAGAACAAAGGCATCACCTGGGGAGAGGATACCCTGATGGAGTATTTGGAGAATCCCAAAAAGTACATTCATGGAACAAAAATGATCTTCGCTGGAATTAAGAAGGGAGAGAGGGAAGACCTAATAGCTTATCTTATAAAGGCTACTAACGAGTAATTCCAATGCCTTATTTATTGCGAAACAAATGTCTTATGGCTTTTAATGTTTACCATAATTTAATTCACACACCAAAATTCAGATCATGAATGGCTAACAATGTTTTTGTTGGACAGTCCTGATTTAAGTAAAACTGACTTGTAGTAAAGTGGATATGATCTTTTTAAAAATAATTCCAGTTGCATAAATACTATCACTGCTCTCCCTATCTCAAGATAGGATTGGACTTAATAATTAAAGTTCAACTTTCCACAAAGATGGGGGTATCTCATCAAACTTATTGAATGGTTTTATACTTAAATTTATATAATTGGGCATATGAGTATGTTTAAACACTGGGAAAATTCTGTTACTGTCTCAGAAATGAGAAGACTCACCTATGTTTCAGTTTGTATTCACTGGTCTGCTACAGGCAATGGCTAAACATCAGGAAATAACTTGACTTGATGATGTCATTTTAATTAGAATTCCCTAAGTCAAAGGATGCTACCGTTTACCACTGAAAGGCACTTACTGTGGTCTATGTGAAATATCAAATAAAGAGTAATTATAACTTAAAAAATATGGCTGTCCCTGAAGGATTGTCAACTCCAGTACTGGATGATAAAATATTTCATTGAGCCAGTTAGTGCCTAAATATATGTTAAAAGACATGTAGTTATCCTTCTTCTGGTTCATTTTTCTTGATGACACTGGGTGAGTGGAACCTCCTGGGACTGCCGTGTCGCTGTCCTTTTCACTCACAGAGATTTTTTTTTTTGCATATGCTCAGATGGAGGAACTGCAGTATCACTCTACCTGTCTTCATCAGCACTGATGGGGTCACACTTAGCACCTGACCCTGCCTTTACATTTACAGGAGAACTAGGCTATCTGTGCTTTAGGCTGGTTTTCATTTGTTTGACTAACTTGATGGTTAGAAAGAAAATGGCTCCCAAAGAGAGTGGCACTATTCCAAAGTATGGCCTTATTGGAGTAGGTGCAGTCTTTATTAGAGGAAGTGTGCTGCTGGAGGCAGGCTTGAGGTCTCATATATGCTCAAGCTATGCCCAGTGAGTCAGACTACTTCCTGCATATCAAGATGTAGCCAGCACCACATCTGCCTGCACACTGTCATGCCCCAACATGATGATCATGGACTGAACCTCTGAAAATGTAACTCACCTCAATTAAACACTTTTCCTTCATAAGAGTTGCCCTGGTCATGGTGTCTCTTTTTAGCAATAGAAATCCTAACTAAGACAGTTTAGTTACTAGAAAGGATGTGTGCTTTTAGATTGGTTTTTTTCTCTTTACCTGGGAAGTTGAGGGAATAATTTAGGTCAAAAGAAACCTAGTTCACCTTTTCACATCATAAATTTATGATTGATGAAGTGAGAGTGATAAGGTGTCTGATTCACAGGGCAGCGTACAGGTTAAAGGCAGCTCTGTATACAGAGCACCCAAGTGTGCACAGCATTGAGATTGCACGCCTTGTCTTTCAGGTCCCTCCCTTGACTTCACAACTGGCACAGTGGCTATGAACACACTCCCTTGTCTTAGGTTGAAGACCTGCTCTCCTCCATGCCGAAGTTTCATTTCACCATTATGTACAGCTTTTGCCCAGTTCCAGATGTTTCTCTGGGTGTTAAAGTTCAGTAGATTTGCTCCCTGCCTGACCTGCTTCTGTGAACAAGGAGGTCCTGGGAGGCTGAAAGGGTCCAACTGCCACAGAGACATCACAGCACTCTTGCCTTCAAACAGATTATCTTTCATTTTCCCAATCACCCATTTTTAGGGCTGTCATTATACCAATTTAATTGATGAGATAAATGACCTTTGGCAGGCCAGGTCACCATCCCAGGAGTACCCTCTGTGTCTGAGGACTGGAATTTCAGTGTCGCACCAACTGGCTCCAAAGGTAATAAACACTTTTGTGCAATACAGAACACTTGCTTTCAAAGCACTCTTCATTCGGCACCTTAGCTGCTTCTCTGATTTTGGCAAAACCAATCCTCTGTGGCACAAAGAGAATAAGCTGTTCAGTGGCCAAGATCAGACTAGAAGCTTTTGAAGTGAGCCCAAATACTTCAACAGCTCATATCTCAGTTCTCATTTCTGAGCTGGTCGGTAGAGAAGAACTGCTGTATGGAATTCTCACTTCTCTGGAAGTACAACTAGCCAATGCTGCCACCAGGATCCCGAGAACACTGCTCTCTGACCAGGTCAGGAACTCAGACCAACATCATATAAAAGAGTGGTGCACAGCTAGATCAGTTCAGAGGCTTTATATTTATCAACTGTGGCTCTACTTCTTGAGAAACACAACCATGCATGCACACACACACACACACACACACACACACACACACACACACACACGTATATATTAAGGCTAAAATATCTTCATTCTGGGCCTGGAGGGATGCATCAATCAGTAACTTGCCTTGAAAGCCTGAATACCCAAGTCTGATCACCAGGACCCACATAAAAGCTACGCATGGTGAAATACTCCTGTACTGGCACTGAGGAAGTTGAGGAAGGCTGGACCCCTGGGATTTGATGAGCCACTTTGGCTTATTTAGTTAGTTCCAGGCCATTGAAAAGCCTTGTTGAAAAAAAAGAATAACCCTGACCGATGATCCTTAAAGAATGACATATGAGGTTTTCCTCTGGCCTCCACAAGCATACACATACACACATGTATGCATATGAAAATATATAAACAAACACACACACATACACACACACACACACACACACACACACACACACACAACATGTTGATGTCCTCTACCCACTGGAGCCAGCCCCAGTGATACCCTACAGAAGTAACAACAGAGAAACTATGACAGGAACCTCTTGTACGGATGTGACTGTTGGTTGTGAGTCATTACAATATCCTGTTGGTAAGAATCCTGGTAGGTTGGAGACAGCGATTTCCTTGTCTCCATCTCCATGAAAGATACTGCTGTAGCATCCTCTCTATGGTCATGTGACCTAAACTGGATCATCAAATGCTCTCATGCATGACTTTGACTCCCGTTTCCACAGAGGCAGCTAGAGATGAACCCAGGGGCTGGACTGGATCATAAAGTCTCTGCACAGATAGGTCAGGATACAGCCCGTCCTGGCCAGCAACATCAGTCCCAAATGTTTGTTTCTGGTATGGGATCTTCACAGTGACGTGCCCTCCCGATTGCCACTCATTTTCTGAGTTTGGTTCTCCAGCTGCATAGTTACCAAGTATTTTCTAGGGAATTCTTCTTTGCTAAAGCTATGCGACTTTGGTTTTAGAGTTTGGCAACAGAAGTCTCTGAGCAATGTGGTTCTCAATGGCCTCCTGCAGGGCCTGGGTTACTGCACTTCCAACCATCCTTGCTCAAAGGAGGCTCCCTCTGAAGAGGCAGGGGGTGTTTTCACTCAAGTGGAAGAGAGAGAGAAGGCCTCAGATCATTATCTATTTGAAGGCTTAACACCAAGTAGTTATTTGAGCCATCACTCTACATTTGCAAGTCCAAGATAAAAGTACAAAGAGGAGTTCAGCCAAAAACTTTGCTTCCCTCCATCAAAACTTAAATTTCACTTGAGGTCTCCTCTTTCCTAGGAACGAGAGCCATAAAATGAGTCATTTTGCTCTTATGAGAGGAATGCTAAGATACAGTCACGTGCTGCTGACGTGTGTCCGGCCTGCCCTGAGCACCATTCCAGCCTCCTTACAAAGTGCAGGGGAGGCTGCCATTGAACACTTCACTATCGCCTTCCCTCCTCAAATGCAGTGAGGTAGGCACCACTTTACCCATTTCTTACTAGAGAGTTGATAATGGCAGCCACGATTAAAAGTGACTCCCAAATCCATGCCACTGTGGAACAGGAGACATTGTCGCTTTAAAGATTCAATCACAGACAAGATTGTTCCAGCCAAAAGCAAAAGAACCTATTTTTTGTCAAATTATATAAATATGTCACAAGGTTTTTTTTTTTGAAATCAAACTGTGTTTTATTTCAAAAGAATTCTTGTAGTAGATACACGGATTGCCCATCTTATATTAGATAGCAAGAAGTGGATATTGCATTGGGTAATTTCTGACTACTTAAAGGGAAAATCGTTACAGATATAGAAATGCATAACTTAAACCTCTATGTGATCCTGGCAATACTTTTCAGTTTGTTTTGCTGCTTGGCAAAAATAAAAGTCTCCATTCTTTCTGGGCTGTTTCATAACTGATAGATGAACCTGACCCAATTGTTGATCCATAGAGGGTGGTTAGAAATACCAATACCCTCGGGGCGAAATTTCCCGACTTTTGCTGTGGAAATATTTAGTCAACTAATGATCTCTCCCCTGCTGTTAGCTTTGGCAGGATATATGCCCCTTTTTTTCTTCTTTTCTTTTTTGAGAGAGAGAGAGAGAGGAGAGAGAGAGAGAGAGAGGAGAGAGAGAGAGAAATCCTCCAGCAAGATTCTTACCTGTCTAGACTCCCAAAAAGGATGAGGTTGACCTAAAACAGCATGAAGAAGTAAATTTGATTTCTTCCTCCAGCAAGATTCCTACCTGTCTAGACTCCCAAAAGGATGAGGTTGACCTAAAACAGCATGAAGAAGTAAATTTGATTTCTGGTAAAATATGACTAAAGAAAAATAAACTGTAAAAAGAACCAGAAAACACAACAATGTGCATCCATGATGTGACCCAATTAGGCAGAATGAAAATTCACGTATAGTGATCCAATGTGCTGGCTGGTAAGTTTCAAAAATTAGGTCTGACAAATAGGGAACCTGCTTAAGACCAAACTAGACTCCCTTAGTATAGGTGACAATGGTGCCACTGGGACAATATATGAGGCCACTGGCAGTGGGTCCAAGATCTAACCCTGATGCACAAACTGACTTAGTGGAGCCCATTCTATATGGAGAGATACCTTGCCCAGCCTAGACACAGGGGTGTGTGGAGAGATGTACCTTGGTCCTGCCTCAACTAGATGATGGGACAGACTTAGAAGACTTCCTAGTGGAGGCCT